TATTCTCAACACTTCCAGAAGGCACCAGTTTGAAGACACATGGTGTATAGTTCTGGACAACATTTCTACATAAGTTGATTAAGTTAAGCCTTTCTTTAGAAAGAAGAGGGAGTAAATATATGTGCAGTGGGAAAACAATTTTAGTTTCTAAATTCAATTCAGTTTCAGGGTAACTCTAGTTGACTTTTCAGGTGCAAAAGTGACACTGCAAGACTTTACAGATTACCAAGGACGTAATCTTTCACTGTAGTTTATTAAATCTGTTAGGTCTTCGGCAGAGTTATGGTTGACAGGATTTTCAACTTTCTAAAGCTAAAAGTTCTGTCAATTTGCACTAACTGAAGGTGAATCTAATTATCTTTCCTCTTTCAAAATCATGTAACACATTGTGAGATATCTTTATACCCACTGCGATTTATCATCCTAGTTAGTTTGTGACTATACTTTGAATTTGCCCCTATACCTTCCTATACTACCACTCTCAAGGCAACCAGCAGGAGTAAAATAAACAAACAATGGCCATGAACATGAGTTGAAGTCTTACTCCATTTTTACATGCAACACATGTAGAAAAGGAGTGGGGATTTCTTGTGCAGTTGTGACCACCATTTTGACTTTTTGTCCCCCTTCTATCCCCTGGCAATTAACCCTACCTCCTTTTATTCACTGATAAGTTTAGCTGATGAAAGCAACCATGATGAATAAACATTTGTGTTGTCTTTTGCTGTTATCAAGCTAACTATGGTTATTTTAATATTGAAATTTCACTCTGGGTGGGAACGAAACCTGTATTTTCCTGTAGGATAACACTGAATTATCTCTAGCAAAGTCAAAGCATGGAGAACTTTTTTGTACAGTTACAGATGGTTCTGATGATCAAATTCTTATCTACTTTGCTTGCTTCCAGAAAAGGATTCTTGTGGAGCAGTCTCATCAAACCTGTTGCTCTCCAGATGGATCAGACTATAATTCTCACCATTCCGTGCTTACTGGAGAACAGGAAGGGGATCAATCTGGAAGGCAACAGGCCATTCTGGAGAATGTGCAATTTGACCTTTCCATAGCAAATGCCAAATATTTTATGAGTTCCAATCCGATGTTACCTTCCCCATGCCAAACAACAGCATTATAGGGATATGCTAAATCGAATCACACATTATGTTAAATCAGATTATGATATGATTTACCATATTTGATTTCAGCCACTATGGTTTGTAAATAATAATCTGCAGTTTAGATGATGGGTAGACCATTATGTTTATTCAAACGTAACTATAACTAAGCATGCAAACTTGGTCAAAGGTTGAGCCATCCCTTAAGATAATCGGAACCTATACTAGAGTCCTTTTTGTTTCAGATTTTTACCTAAAGTGTTCAAGATTACTTCTTCAAAGTCTTCATTTGCAGCTTCCCACAACCCTAAAGGCACAATCGATTTCACATTACAGAAACCAATAGATTGTGTTTGAAATGTCAACCTAATGTTAACACTTCATGTTTTAAAGAATTACTATTATTTGTTCATTGTTTTTCTGTAAAACATGAATTGTTATCAACATATTCAAGAAAACACTGATTAATAGTATCTCCCTGTGTAGAAAAGTTGGCTCATCAGTTAGTTTCCAGGAGTCTCTTCCTGTTAGTGCTGACGTGTTCCCTTGTCGCTTATAGAGATAACATTTATTGATAACCCTTGCTAATTTCTTTGATGTCCTTAATGGTAGGAAATAACTTCACAACTGAATGGCATTGTGCAGTAGGAATCAAAATACACCAAAAGAACATTAATAAGATTAATAATCCAAATGGCCTCCCTTTGATGCTGAAAATGACAAATACTATCATTTTCAAAATAATCTTAAATGCCAACTTTTTCTGAGAGCTACACACTTTTGAAAAGTGACATTCTGATAAAAACCAAACATATTCAGCTTCAGGAGTAGGGACTATGTGAGCTAAAGTAGCCTTCCCTCTTCTGTATTATTTTAAAAGGGATGTAGTGGTATATTCATATATATGGTCACTTTTTCTGTTTCTAGAAGTGGTTTGATTATTATTATTATTATTATTATTATTATTATTATTATTATTATTATTATTATTATTATTATTATTATTCAAATAGCCAGATGTTCAGACAGGATTTGGCATTTTTGTCTATCTATCGAGTCCTTACCAAGGACCTGGGATAGGCAGATCTGGATGTTTGATGGTGTTACAGATATTGTCGCAGAATGGAAGCTATTTCCATAAAGCTGCCTTTTGCAATTGACTGATGGCGAACTTGTTAATGCCAATAGTGTTCAAATGGAGCTGCAGTTCTTTTGGGATTGCACCCAAGGCACTTACTACTACTACTACTACTACTACTACTATGATGATGATATTATTATTATTTATTATTTATTATTATTATTATTATTAGCCCCAAACTGTGAAATCATAGCTGCCAGTTTTTTAGTTGGTGTTGTCCTTTATAACACATTGAGTTTTTCCCAAGAACCTAGGATGTTGTATTGGTGTAGTATATCTGTAGATCCAAGCAGTGTGATGTTTTGTAATTGCCAGAGATTTTGTCAATGCACTGTCCAAGGTTTTTTAGTATAGCACCCAGTGTGCTAATAACCACTGGGATCATGATAGCCAGTTTATGCCATAATCTTTCAATTTTGATTAAAATTGTTTTTTTGAAATTATTTTGATTGAAATTATTATTATGGTTGTTTGCATAATCAGCCAGATGTTTAGACTGAATTTGGCATTTTTATTCAGCTATCAATTCCTTCTTAAAGACCTGGTACACACAGATGTTGTTATTTGATGTTAAAGGTATCATTGCATGATGTAAGCTGTTTCAAGTTAAGCTGCCTTTTATATTTGACTGAGGATGATTTTGTCAATGCTGATGGGTGTTCAAGTGGAGCTCCAGACTTTTTGGGATTGCACCCAAGGCCCCTGTTACAATTGGTGCTATCTTTGCTTTCTTTTGCCATAGTTATTCTACTTCTATTTGCAGATCATTGCATTTTGTGATTTTCTCTAGTTTTCTCCCTTCTATTCTGCTGTTTCCAAGTACTGCCACGTCCATTATCAGACTTTTTTTGTCTTTCTTATTGACAATGGTTAAATCTGGGATGTATTATGGCAGATGTTTGTCTGTATTTGGTAAAAAATTAAAAATATGTGCATGAATGACTCAAAACTTCAATGCCATGGAAAACACTGACATAAACAAATCAGCAGAGGTAACTAGATTAAAGATACGTTTCAGATGCTCTGGCATGGAGACATCCTTCTTGACATAAGAATATAAAAAGGGCTTTCCTGAATTTTTCTAATTGTTTAATTTAATATTTTACAGGCAATATTTATCCACATAAATATTATACTAAAAGCAACTGGGATGTGCCATTTTGGATGAGATGAATACCTTTTGAATTTCTTTTCAGAATTATAGCAAATATTACTGGGATACTTTAAAAAACTATATTGCAATCCCTGGAACAAGAAAATGCAATTGCTAGTCAAGCTTCACATTTCAATTTTTAAAATGAGAATTTAGGTTTATTCATGCTGCCTAGGGTTAGACTGAAATATTACAAATGCTTTTGTAAAAACACATAGAAACAAACTGTGACTATTTTTTTCTTTTTCCTTCCTAGTATTTTCCTGCAAGTGCACAATCTGCTTTTTTCCAATCACTTGAGAGTTCATCCACTAGTTGCAAAAGGAATTATCCAATTGACTTGTCACCTTAGAGTTACGTTATGGGCTGAGAGAAAGTGACTGGCCCAAAATCACCCAACTGACTTTCATGCCTAAGGCAGGACTAGAATTCTCAGTCTCCTGGTTTCTAGCATGATGCCTTAATGTTTGGTTTCCATGAAACCAAACAAGCTATCTTGTGGTTGATTTCTATTACAAGAGAATTTTAAGTATTATATTGATTGGAAAAAAATTAAGTCTATTCAAAGGCATTTCTTTGTCTTTTGGAAGGACTTCTTTCATTGCCTTGGGTCAAACATCACAACATTCAAGACTTTAAACACCGCATCACAATTCAGTGAAGTAATGCAATAAAATTCCAGATTTCATCTTGCTTGAAATGATTCTATCTTTGGAAGCTGGACAAACTCAGTGTAGCATTTTAGCAATGCAGTGGTGCATGCAGAATATATATGTATGAAATAGGTAAATGTAGGTACAAAATTAGCTATGATTTATAATTCAAAACAAAGGTTTTCTTTCATGTAGCAATGGAAACAGCTTTAATTTCAGATGCTAGAAAAGGAAAATAATGTTTGTGCCTTTTTTAACGTAGGTATTCTTAGACTTTTTCATCATTTAATTCTAACTCGTAGGCTTATGTATTTCAAGCTGCTATATGATGGATAGCTTTCAATGTCATTCTACTTGCCATTGGCTATAGCTTAAGCCAAGACCAATAATGGTTAATGTTATTATATTGTAGTTCTTGGACATGCAGATACTTTAACAATGACTAATAGTGCTTAATGTTTAGCTTATGGACTTTCATTAATATTGACAACAGTAAATAAATCTTTCTATACATACAGTATGTCATCCAAGCAGACTTCTGTGCCAAGGCTGTTAGTTGTCAGCTTCCCCTTTCCTGAATATTCCACGAGGCTACAATAACTCAATGGCTCAACACAAACCTCTACATCTACACACTTACCATCATCCAGGTATAACTGGTCCAATTCTTCAGGTTCTTGCTTGATCATTACAGGCATGGGGGCCAAATTATGATTACTGTCCTCATGCAAGTCGGTCAATGACAGTGGCTGATTTGCTGGAGTTTCATTTCTTTGAATGTTCAGCAGCTGCTGTTGGCCCATTACAGTTGAGTGAGTTGGACTGCAGGACTGCAAATAGGTTGACTCTTGGGTTACAGATGGAACTGGAGAGGAAGGACTGTTGGGATAGAGTGTTTGTTGATTACCAAGGGAACAGGTACTGCTCAGATGTTGACTCACCTGCGGCTGCAGCATGATGTGAGATGACTGATCAGGAGAGCTTGGGTGCACAACAATAGACCTTGGCACTTCCTGTATGGTGGGGACACCTCCAGCCGTCTGCTGAAGTCCTAGATGATTATGGCCTGGGTTGGTGATGCACTTGTAAGCAGGAGAGGAAAGATCATGCAGCTTAGGACTAGAGCTGGGAGATGATGACATCACAGTGTTTCTCTGCTGACAGGAAGCGAAGCCAGCTACAAGGCACGAGCCAGGATCAGGAGGCATCATGATCTGCTGGCTGTAATACGGTTTGGAGAGAGGGCTTAATCCATGGCTCCTTGGTCCACAGGTTTGAGCAGACTCGTACTCATCAGTGGGTTCTGTTTTTATAATTGGAACTGTTAAAAGAAAAAGAAAGTGCTTTGAATAAACCTAGAGTTAATATGATCAAGTTGGCTTGTGGCTAGGATACCCCTTGCAAAAACAAACAAAGTCTTGAATAAGACTCTGTGTGTCCTTTGCTAGTTCTCTCCCCCTCCCTCGCCAAAATACGAATGACTCATCCAAGCAAGAAAGCCACAGCTGGTTCTAATACTGAAAAAGGCTATTTTTTTTAGACTCTCCGCCAGCTCTAATGTGCTATAAAAATCTATTTGCAAATAGCTGTGCTACAGTAGAAGCCCTGGACCCAAGGGCTCTATGGATCTGTAGTAATCAAAGGAATTTTTTAAAAACTTGGATGTACTACTGCTTGTCGACTGCTACTGATGGCCCATTTGATAGATGTCTGCACAACGGGTAAATTCAAGCATAGGGAGTCAGCGAAGGGGCTTTCAAGAGTTCACAAAAACAAAACTTCAGAGAGAATGACAAGCTTAAGAAAAAGTATTACAATTCCGTCATAAAGCTTTTCTTTCTAGAAACCAAAATTTGAACTACCTTAAAAATAATAATAGTGTCCATATATAATTTTTATAATCCCTGTGACAGTATAGAGATATTTCATGAAGGTAAATTTCCAAATCACATTTATTTAATTCAGAAGACTACTTTGGGACTAAGCTAAACTTTATCAGTTGTATCAGTTCACAGAAATACTTAGTATTTTCTTCAAACCCAATTTATAAACAGAAATGTGATTTAAATAGCATTTTTACAGATAACTTGCAGACAAGGTAAGTTTTGGGCTTAGAGTTAGCAGTTAATTATCACTAAAGAAGAAAAATCATTAACAAAGAATTAATTTGTATATAATTTGGTGTGAATGCAAAATCTTGTATATTTAAAAATAAGTGACACAGGTTAATTGAAATCAACATTAACATTAATGAAAAAGACTGTGACTAAATGTAACAATGGCTTCCCCACCCAATAAACATTTAGAAGATAGTTATGTAAAAAAACAACCAGCAAGCTCCTTCATTATCAATAGAAAGTCCCAAAGGTGCTTTTTGAAGCGGCAACTGGACTTTTTCTTTGAAGATGTTTCGCTTCTCATCCAAGAAGTTTGTTCAGTTCTGACTGGATGGTGGAAAATGAAATGATTTATATTCCTTGCAGACAGCTGGTCATTTGCATTCTTTTAGAGAGTCATTGAGGTCACTGGAAGTTTATCTGTGTCCTCAGGGTAATAAACCTCCAGTGGCCTCAATGACTCTCTAAAAGAATGCAAATGACCAGCTATTTGCAAGGAATATAAATCCTTCCATTCCCCGCCATCTAATTAGAGCTAAAGAAGCTTCTTGGATGAGAAGCGAAACATCTTCAAAGAAAAACAAGAAAGTCCAGTTGCCTCTTGAAAAAGCACCTTTGGGACAACCATGTCCTGAATGACTGAGAATCTCCATAGACATTTATCAATAGAAAGATGAATGGCCATACTTGCTGAGGATGACAGGAGAATGATTATATATGAACCAGTCTGCTGATTCATAGAAAGAATATTAAAAATAAAATGAGCCAACTGTGTCCCAATGAACACTGAGGACATATCAGCTTTAGTTCAATCACTAGAATTCCTATAAAATCTAGCCCTTTCTTCTCAATATATCTTGCTGAAGAACCAATGTGAAAACTACACTTGGTAAAAAAAGTATTTTCAGTTTTAGGGAGATGCCAAGAACTTGGTTTCCAGGTAACCTGTGTAACCGTTCAGACTGTTAGTCAGGTGATAACTGATGATCATTCTTCCTTCCATCTTTTAAGATAACCATTCTTTGTTCTTCCTTCCTTCTCCTTTGGTTAATTAGAACCAAAGAGTAGACAATCCTCCTAACAGATAGAGTACATCAGGGAAGGTTTCAGTACCAATTGCTTCTTTCTGCCTGGTAGCTGACACAAGAATCAGAGGAATCTCTGAATCTAATTAAAAAGCACCTGTTCTCAAGCAATAAGTCATGGATATAATATCAGAAGTATCACTATAAATCTATATAAGCTTTACATACATCCAATTTAGCAAAAAGTAATTTAAATCTACACACACACATACAAATTAAGTGCTGCCATTGCTTTTAGAGATTTAGAAGGACATTTGAGAAGATCTACAGGTTGTCTGGGTTTTATCAAGGAATGCTAAGTTTGGAATTGGAATTATGTAGTCAACACCTCTAGCTTTCTGAATTTGCTACATAATTCTTGAGAATATAAGATCTGATTATCGATTTAATTCATTGATATTTCATTGTATCATAGGCTGAGATCTGGCTTATACCCAGATGAAGTTCTAACTATTATGTAAATATTTTTCTCATTGGAATCTTTATATTAATCTTAAGCGGATATATTTTGAAAAACTTAAAAAAAAACACAGCTATACATGTAATATTTAGAATAACATCAGCAGATTAACATCAGATTTTACTTTCAAGGTGAGATAAATATTACTATAAGTGATATAGTAATTTATTTATTTAAGGGCCTTCAAGTCAGTCTTGACTGCTGGCGACTGTCTGGACAACTCCCTATAGTTTTTTTTTTGTTTTTTTTTTGCAAGATTTGGTAGTGGTTTACCATTTTCTTCTTCCTGGGGCTGAGAGAAAGTGATTAATTGAAAGTTATCCAACTGGCTGTGTGCCTAAGGCAGGACTAGAACTCATAGTCTCCTGGTTTCTAGCCTGATGCCTTAACCACTACATCAGAATGGCACTTTATCTATTTATTTATTTTCAATGGTATTGTTTTATTTTATTTTATCAAAAATGATCATTATTCAAACTTAGCAATAGATAACAAATTGTCTCCTGGATATAATATGATTCCTATCATCCTCAACTAGTATAATCATTTACCTCATTAGCTAAGATGATGGAAAATTAAATTCAGGACACCTGAATTTGGGAATACTTTGCTGAAATGACTGAACAAGATTTTCTTAGAAGCATAATCTCAATAAAAATGGTGAATAATGATGCTATATACCAACTTCTTTATAAAGACCATCAATTAATGAATTTTTGTTCAAAATTTTTAAAATGACAAATGGGAGACCAGATTTGCCCCAGACTTTCCATGTTTTTTATATTATCCTGAACTCTGTTAGATTTTAATATACTGCCCTAATTTTAGGAAATAATAGTAATATTTAGCCTATCAAATTAATTAGCTAAGATTTAATACACAATAACTATGACAGTTTTAGGCTAAACCATGTATCACATTATCAGTCAATTTAATACTAGAACCATATGTTTGAAGCAACATCAACTATAAATTGTTGTTCTTACTGAGAGGGCCCCATATGAAGACCCCATAGCAAGACCAGTTGATAAAGGCAATACACTTCTATGCATACTTGGATATGGGGAGAGAAATGCCAGTTATAGTGTTTGAAATGAAAAGCTGTGAACTATAAAAGATGAGTTCCTAAAATCTTAATGAAGAACTTAAAACATTTTCATTGAAGGAGAACAAGTGGGAGGTTTCTTTTAAATATGAGTTTTAAATCCAGTTTCATTTTTCTATAATACATAGGTCCTCTTTTGGTTCATGGTTGTTAAGATGAATGAAAAATAAGACATATATTTTAGGAAGATGAAAGACACCAAAAGTAGTAAAGTCTAGTTAGCTTATTGCATCAAGAATTGTCACCGGAAATAGCCAATTCTCATCAACTGGCCATGCTAGAGGAAATAAGAACTTCTCTTTACTTAAAATTGATACTAAAGTACTATATCTTGCCTCAATTATCTTCTATTAAAATCTTTATAAAGCGTCATTATCTTTTGAAGTCATTTATTCTGAGCTTTTACAATTATTATTTCTTCCTAAATAATTTAGTTACGAAGAGCTTCTCAGCTGCCTTTAAAATGTTTAGCTCTTCAAAAATTACCAAAGAGACAGGACATTGTAGAGGCATGGAAACAGAGGTTCTTTCAGAGCAGAGTCCTGGCGCAGCTTACTTGCTTATGAGCAATTAATGAAGCCAAAATGTGCATTAGATTGTTAATAGATCTTAGAAGAACTGATTCATTTTTTTATTGTAAGACATTATTCATGTAACAATCCAAGGGATAAATGGAACCTACATTTTATATTCTTTTAAGGAAAATTTCCAAGCATGTTTACAGTATATTGTTTTGTTAGGTTCTTCCCACTGTGTACCAAACACAACCTCCTTAGTTGTTCTATGGGAATTAAACTTTTTTTGATTAGAAAAACATGACACGTAATGGTATCAGAATGAAAAATGAAGATCAGACATTGACTAAAGAAGAGAATGAATATCCATTCTCTTCTTTAGTCAATGTCTGATCTTCATTCTTCATTCACTTCTGATACCATTACGGGTCATGTTTTTCTAATCGAACTGTGGGGAGTATGGACAGATTCCTGTAATTTTAACAAATGATACCTTCTCTATTGTTTGTATCTGCAATCCAACACAATTCAACATCTCACTTGTCTGATACAGATACTAATACAAAAAATGATAATCAAACTCATCAAAGAATTTACATGTATGTGTTTTGGGAATATAATGAAATGGGAAACGCACAATAGAAAAATGCTAAGCTAATGCTAAACTTAAATAATAATGATAAAAATGATAAAAATACATTCATATGTTTCCATATGATAAATGAACTGATAAACAATATGACAAACTATTTTTTATTGGCCAAGCATGAAATGCCGTAAACTTTACAGTGAGAATCTCATTCTTAAAATGGATGAAATTAGCTTAACACACTGAATGTATCTACAACACAAGACAGAATAAGATACACACTTAGGAAATCCCATAATTGTTCTTAGAGAAATAGACTGCATTCTTTCCAGCTCATTTGTGATACCCTGCACCCACAAGGAAGCCCCATAAAGTTAGGCTAAAATATTTGAATGAAAAACCTGAAATGCTGACTAATCTCCTTTGTAGTAGTGAAATTACAAGAAAGCA